TTAGTCCCCATTTTAGCTACAGGCCTGCTAAAGTCAGTCTTAATTTAAGCTTAAAATGACAAGTCATTATTTCAACATTCAAACGTAGATAATTCTGGACACACACAGATTTGAAGGTTCAAATTTCAATGGTGAGCTGTGAACACTATTACTAATTGACTAAGTATGATTGGTCAAAAAAAAGAATGACAAATCTGTCCCTTTAAAACTAAGCACAGCACAAAAAAAAACATAGTGGCTATAATCTAAATGCACCATCAAAGAAATTCCATTTTTTATAGTCCTATATGGTACCAAATCAGACCTAAACACCTACACAATATTACACTGTATCAGAAACTTTACCATGGCATGTTATCAATACTTTACCTATCATTACCTAGATAGGCACGTGATATACTGACAATCTAAACGAGGTTCTCATTAATCAATTATTAATTAATAATTAGCTATTGTCTGATTTGATCACTTAATCATCACTCAACTCCTTATCTTGTCAAATAAAACTTCCATTTTATATACCCAGTACAACAGTTTCAGATATATAATCCTCATCAGGCCTTATCAGATAAATACCTTCATCCTACAAACAACAATTTTGATAAGAGCTCATGTCAATATGTGTTTCAGACATATAATCCTCATCAGGAATTGTCAAATAAGTGCATTTTCTTTAAATACTGATTCTTTTCTTGTACCTTAGTTTATTTGACACGAGTTCATCTCATGCTGGTGACAAGATGACACAATCCCCATCAGGACAACTAGTTTTGAAAATGAGTGTTAATTTTCCAGTACAGAATAATACTTTATATAAATATACGAAAATCACTGAATAAGAACTAGTCAATGTCCTGGATTCCCGGCTCATGTCTTCTTGACCAGAACTCATTTGTTGGTGACATATGCTTCAGATAAACAATCCTCATCAGGACAGCTAGTATTTAGAAATGGATGTTAACTTGGGGAATATGAGATAATAAAGCTAACTCAATGAACAAGAGTTGGAAAGAGAACAGGAGAATATTCTACAGTGTAAAAACTTTCAATTCAAATATAACTGACCACATTCTCTACCATCTACAACAGGATTCATTAGATTGAAAAATATATTTAGCAATTTATCACACCAAATAATGATGTAAATAAAGCATGTTCTCTTCTTGTGACCTTGGCCAGTGCTTCTATAGGAGAATATTTCCTGTAATGCCCGACACCAAATTTAAGTTTTGGCTAATCAAAGTTAAATTTTGATTCGAATTTCTCAAAATTCAGTAGCAATTAAAAATGTTTCATTAGTAAACCTTCTGTGATTTGCAGATAGTTGTGATAAATTGTAAATTTGACTAATCGAATTAAATATTGGATCACAAAAGGGGTCAAATTCAATTTAGCCCTGATCTAGAAGATCTGATAAAACTAGGTAATAACTAACTGTGACTAGGTAATATAAATTATTCAAATTTTAAAATATATCATATTCCAGGATCCTGTTTACTCAAATTGTTATACAAAATAACATCATCACAAGTTCTATTGAAACTGATTAGAGCATGAAAACTGCTGACATATAATCCAGGTATAAATAGTATAATATTTCATATGATCACATTCAATCCAGGTGTATTCATCTTCACAATGTCAAGCTATTACAAACTTCATCTGCACAATGTCAAGCTATTACAAACTTCATCTGCACAATGTCAAGTTATTACAAACTTCATCTTCATAATGTCAAACTATTACAAACTTCATCTTCACAATGTCAAGCTATTACAAACTTCATCTTCACTATTACAAACTTCATCTTCACTATTACAAACTTCATCTTTACAATGTCAAACTATTACAAACTTCATCTTCACAATGTCAAACTATTACAAACTTCATCTTCACAATGTCAAACTATTACAAACTACATCTTCACAATGTCAAACTATTACAAACTTCATCTTCACAATGTCAAACTATTACAAACTACATCTTCACAATGTCAAACTATTACAAACTTCATCTTCACAATGTCAAACTATTACAAACTACATCTTCACAATGTCAAACTATTACAAACTACATCTTCACAATGTCAAACTATTACAAACTTCATCTTCACAATGACAAGCTATTACAAACTACATCTTCACAATGTCAAGCTATTACAAACTTCATCTTCACAATGTCAAGCTATTACAAACTACATCTTATATCTTGAGTGCAATAGCTACCTTTCTTATATCTTCACAATGTCAAGCTATTGCGAGCTTCGTACTTATACCTTGATTGCGAAAGGCATCTATCTTGTACCACAGACGATTGAATTATACATTAGCAAATACAGCCATCGGGTTACACCTGACAGTCAAATTCTTTAGTCTTTCATTAATAATCGAAATGATTTAATAGAGAAACCCTGTAAATACTTAATAAAAAATATACAAAATTTTGAATTCCATGAATTTTATTTTTCATTGAAGTATATTCTTCTTTTGATCAGTTATTATAGTTTATTGTAGGTAAGTTATGTGCTGAAAGGAAACTATGTGGAAGAGATTACTACTTGTTAACAGGTACAGTGGAGAAAATGTAACTTTGACATATAATCGATTATGTAATTTGATAATCAAATCAACTAATTATAAATTCGACGAGACGATTAATGGATTATTTCGATCATTTTACCCAGCCCTAATGTCACTTCTCTAAACTTGATGCAAAATTTTTTTTAAATATTCTTCAGCCTACGCGCTGTCAATATCTCTCATGAAAAATTTCACACAAGGGTTGGGCGATATCGGTTCAAGTGGATATCACGATATTTAAGAATAATACTGATAGGCCTTTTTCAAGATATGGCGATATTTCTCTAGTTTTGTTTCAAGTGACATTGGGATTGCTGTTTTAAATTCAAAGGATGCCACATTCAGAATAAGCAAAATATCAAAGCTTAGCGGTCTAATACACCTACAAGCAATCCATATTAGACGTGAAGGAATTGAAGCCTGTCCGCCATTTATCACTGGTAGGTAGCCTACAAATCATTTCTATGCTAAAGCCTACACTGTATTTCATAACCTATCGCTGAATATTTCTGGCCCAGATATTTCTCCTTTATTTCATTTTATATCATCAATAATTAGACGCAACATATTCATACAAATGTAAATTATTATGTAAATTGGCCTGTATACATAATATAAACTTTGTGTCTGTCTGTAGACATTTAGCCTATAGATGGGCCTACAAATTATTTATATCGAATAGCAATACTGGTATTATCTTAAAAAATATGTTTGTTGAAAAAAAATAATAATTACTTACATAATTAGCAGACTCCATCTTCTTGATTGATGATCAATTAACGATAATCCAATTACTGATAAATATCATTAGTTACCATTGTCACCTGTTGATTGCATTTAGTTGTGGTCTGAGTCCCAAATGACAATGTTACATTCCAATATTGTCCGAATTTTCAATCAAAACCCGTTCGATTCCTTACTCGAAAATTAGACAAGAATAGCAGAGTGTTTATAATCCATAATTCACAATCCGAAATAAATATTCCAAAATATTTTGAGTAAAATTCACATATTTTTCAACCGAATGTCATAGATTTCACTTCTGGCTCACCGACCTGTTTTATCACGTGACAATGACGTCAAGTAGGTTTTGTTTACATATCTACCATCTACACGTGAAGACATTTTTCTTATTTTCGGCAATTTTTCATCATTTACAATTTTGGTGAAAAAGGGTTAGCTTAAAAATTCAAAAAATCTGAGAACCAAAAGTTCTCTTGAGCTAATCACCAAAATATAAATGTTCAAATCCCACCTTTGTCTTAATGTGTCAAGGAAAGCAACTCCAGTTTTCAAATATCGGCTACAGACTTCAATAATTTTCCTTTGTCATGTTAAACTTTATTGTGACGATGCGTCTCAATAAAGAAATGAAACGAAACAACCCAAGACAATTTTAAGTTCCTCAATACGTAATGACTTAATCATATTCGTTCTTATCGTCCCTGCATTGCAAAATAATAACAATGCAAGAGCTAGGCGAATATGTTTTCATTTCATGGATATATAGGTCAAATTGAAGGACATTATTTGTTATGTGAACACGCTTACAAATTGAAGATGCGATAATTAGACATATTTCACTAGTTCTGACTTGCATTCCTGCAACATAGCGGTAAGCGAATCTTGTTGAAGAGACTACTAGCAGTTCCATTACTGACAGCATTTGTTAAATGGGTATGATGAGAACGGATTTTTAGACTTTAAATCGGGGGGAACCTTGTACTGTAGCTTCTCGGCTTGGGTCCAGGGTCCACCTGTAACAGTTTATGGTCTCCTAAATTTGTAAAACAGAATTCTGTTAGCTGTCAAGATAATTTCAGTGACATATCCAATAGATTAGCCAAGGCTGTCCTGAGCGATAAGGCTGGAATTTTGGAAGAGAAAGCAGGAATCCTGGAAGGGTTCTAGCCAATCGAGCAGCTAATGTATTTGTTACTTCTTGTAAAATCTTCTCAACTCCCCAAAATCTGTGTTAGGGAATACTATAGTTGATTCTGTATATATCTGACCAAAGTTGCCAAAGTTTAACTATGAATGCCATGGAAAGGGTACCAAGATAAAATTGGTGAAGTTAGTTTGAAATAATGATATGCATATTATTAGATAGGTCGTTAGTCGACTGCATAGTTGCTTTATCAAGTGATTGATGTCTATTTTGCTATCTTGATTATTTGTATCCTTGGCTCAGATTGGTCAACTAATTCGAGAAGAAATATTAAGGTTTTGATATTGATCTTGTTTTAAATTTTCTTTTCAGACACTTAATGTAGAATGTTTGAAGTCTTTTTATTTGAGAAATAGCTATGGCCTCCATATCTTAGCTTCACCAACAAGGACCCGCACTGCCACCAGGCATAGGAGATTGAAGGAATTCCACGTGAAGCATGCTGAAACTCCAGAATTACCAAACTAACTAAAATGAATCACGTAAATTATTATAACTGTGATGTTTGTAATAAATCATACACAAGCCAAAATCATTTACTTCGTCATCAGAGAAAACATATCAACGAACGTCCCCTCGACCCCTTTATTTGGACGTGTGGAATTTGTGGAAAAATATTTCGACAGAGACATGGTCTGCATCGACATGTTCGTGTTCACAGTGGAGAGAGGCCCTACATTTGCATCATTTGTGGGAAATCGTTTATTCAAAACTGTAATTTAGTGATTCATATCAGAATACATACAGGCGAGAGAAATTATTCGTGTGGAATCTGCGGACGGACGTTCAGTGATGGTCGATATTTACAGAAACATATTACAATTCACACTGGAGAGAAAGACTACGTCTGTTTTTGTGGGAAATCGTTCCGACACAGTGGCGGACTCTACAAACATAAAAAAGTTCATTCGGGACATAAACCTCATGTTTGTTTAATCTGCGGCTGGCGTTTCACTGTGAAAGGAAATTTGAAAAAACACGTCCTCACTCATTCTGATAAAAAAGCTTTCCATTGTGATATTTGCGGAAAATCTTTCCATTTAGCAGAACTTTTTCAAAGTCACGTTCGAATTCACGTAAATCAACAACCATTTAAATGTGATATCTGTCATAAACCGTTAAATAGGCGAGACAGTCTCAATAAACACATGAGACTTCATACAGGAGAGAAACCCTACAAATGTTACATCTGTGGCAAGGCTTTTACTCAAAATGGAAATTTAAATGAACATATTCGAACTCATACTGGAGAGAAACCGTACGAATGTGGTGTTTGTGGAAAACGAATGGCTCGTTCAGGAGATTTGAAGAAACACATGAATACCCACGTAGCAGGAGAAATAAAAAGGTGTGAAATCTGTGGAAAAGGATTCGAACGGAAATGTAACTTAATTCAGCATTTAAACAGACATAAGTTAGCTCAGTTGAAAGGCAAAGAGCCGGTTGACTATTAAGTTTGATTTAAACAGTGTTTTTAATTCATTATCATAGCTTTTAAAGCATTATGGAACTTATACCTTTAATGCAAAGCATTTATATTAGAGTATTTGAAATGGAACTAGTTAACTTATATTTCAGTAGGCATTTTCTATAGAAGGTACTGGCGCAGGGTTTAAGTTATGTTTACAACTTTTACATGCCAATATTCATTGAACTAAATTTAAAAAAAAACTTTTAAGCATTTATATTAGCGTATTTGAAAAGCAACTAGTTATATGTCAACATAACAGAAGGCGCTCGCACCTATATAGATATTAGGTGTTATGGGGTGAGAGCCGACATTGAGCTGACTCTTGAAAGCACTGGCACAGGCACCAGGATTTTTTCTTTTTTTCGAACCCACAGCACCTAATCGCCTGGCAGACGACAATCCAACTCGCTACTGACTGAGCTATTCCACTGTCCTAGTAGACGACAATCTAACTCACTACAGACTTAGATATTCCACTGTCCTTGCAGATGACAATCCAACTCGCTACTGACTGAGCTATTCTACTGCTACAAAAAGACAGAGTATTGACGTTTACACAGTTCGAAAGTTGTTATCCCCTACAAGGAGATATTCATACAGCCTGGCACGTGCAAGGATAGGTATTAGCGAGTCACTATTCTACAGAAGGCACTGGCGCAGGGTTAAAGTTACGTTTATAATATTCATTGAACTAAATTTTAAAAAAAAAAAACTTTTATAGTACAATTTTATAATTGTTATTATATGTTTTTCAATTTTTTAATGAAAAACATGTTTAGGGGAGTTCATTTATTAGTATTTTGTTTATATCTCTTTTTTTTTCCATTTTTGCTAAAATTCCTCAAAAAATGTTGAAATCAAAGGGAAATCCTTAAAAAAGCCCTGATTTTTTCATGTCAATCCTTAATTTGTTTGTATATCTACTCGAGGGGCGATAGTTGTACGTTGTCAACAGGAATGCTGTTTGGAATGACCTTAGATGCAAGCGAATAAAACCTAATTTTTAAAATTTTCTTAGGGGCTTGAAGATCTACCACTCTCAACCCTGGCGCTCAAGTATTTATTTAAGTTTCTTAATTGTCAAATGTGAGAAAGTAATACATTTTAATGTATAAAACTGCCTGAATTGAGTCATAAAATTCCCAATATTAGCCCTAAAATTATCCCTTGTTTTCATCAATGAGTGCTGGACAGTGTGCAATAATTTATTATAAATCATAAAATGATATCTTTGTACAGAGCTTTAAGGATGCTTTTAGAATTTTTGTGCCAAACATAATTTACTACTTGGATAATAATTGTTATGTATTTTCATATTTTATAGAAATTAGCACTTAGACATTTTGACAGTGTCAAGCTTTTACAAATTTCATCTTCACAATGTCAAGTTATTACAAATTACATCTTTACAATGTCAAGCTATTACACACTACATCTTCACAATGTCAAGCTATTACACACTACATCTTTACAATGTCAAGCTATTACACACTACATCTTTACAATGTCAAGCTATTACACACTACATCTTCACAATGTCAAGCTATTACACACTACATCTTCACAATGTCAAGCTATTACACACTACATCTTCACAATGTCAAGTTATTACAAACTACATCTTCACAATGTCAAGTTATTACAAACTTCATCTTCACAATGTCAAGCTATTACACACTACATCTTTACAATGTCAAGCTATTACAAACTTCATCTTCACAATGTCAAGTTATTACAAACTACATCTTCACAATGTCAAGCTATTACAAACTTCATATTATACCTTGACTGCAATAGCCACCCTTCTTTTACAAAGGAATGCAGCAACTTGATTGGATTGTACAGCCAATCAGAGCCTTCGTTCGACTGAAAAGAAAGTAAACGTTATGGCTCTGTACAATCCAATCTAAACGCTGCATTTACAAACTACTGTGATACAAGAATACTGCCTATTGGTGTCAAGGTATAAGACGAATTTGGTAATAGATTAACATTGTGAAGATGGTACCTATATAGCTTTATATTTTATCATCTATAGCCATTGCTTTGTTTAGATATTTTGAATTCTTTGAACCTTTCGAATTCAATCATTTATTTGAATGTATCTTCAAGTTTTAAACAATTAAACTTTATGTATTTTAAACTGTTAAACTGATTGGTTAAATCTTCGTCTGATTGTGAAAATGATGTTTTTGGGAATGTTGTCAGATTCAAGTGAAGCAACTCATTAGCCTACTGTATGAAACTGTTAGAAGTTGTTCATAAAATGCAAATCTAGATGTTTCGATTTGTGTTTTTTTCTGTAGTTTACTACACATGTCATTGTTGATCTGACAAGCGTTTTTCCTACATCATGTTTTCTTGTCAAAATTTATGCTAACCAATCAAAAATACTGTTAAACGTGGTTAGATAATACAAGTCAATATTAACAGTGATGTCAGTGAATATCCCACAATTCTTCATATTTAATTAGGAAAGTTTTTATTGAACAAAGTGTTTGATTGGTTGAATATATCACATGACCTACAACAGGAGATGCTGAACAATTGTGTAAGATCATAGATGACAAGTGGAATCACATGCAGAAAAATCTAGATTTTCATTTTGATCAGATTGGAGATAAGGGTGCTGGATCAACCCAACTCATAAGGATATACTTTCAGTTGCTATCTGAAGTATTTTGCTACAATATAATCTAGCTATTTCTAAACTAAATTCGTTAAGCTGTGTTTTATTTTTATTATGTAAATTATTTATAATATTGTTGTATTAATGTAGTGTTTGTTGATTGCTGTAAAAAAAGTGCTAAGAGATTAAACAAATCAAGAAATATTATATATTTTAGTCGTTCATTATTTTTTCGTGTTAAAATTTAAAAATAAAAGAGGATTATGTGTCTGTTCATTCAATCAGGATTTGATCCTTTTGGCCTTTTCCCAGTGTTCAAAATTAAATTGGGGGGGTGCTAGTTTCCAGATACTGAGGGTACAAATAGGTGGCAGATTGACTTAATGGGGGAGAACTGTCGAGGTTGAGAGTCAAAATGTGGCAGGCCTATGAAAGCATCATAGGCGGAAGCCTACCCTAGAGCCTCTGAGAGGGTTCTCCATCAAGAGTTTTTCGAAAAACTGAATTGATTTGGTGCATTCTTAAATATCTTGTGGTTAAAACAAATTATTTAATTCAGCAGAATTATTGATTTATAAAGCTCACTATATTTTTTAATTTGTCAGTTTGTTTTTTGACATAAGATAAATGTCAATGTAATGAAATTCAATTCATGCAATACATTTCTTACAATGCACATAATTTACACAATGTCAAATCCAGCTGTGACTGTCACGAAACGTGCCATTCCTAACGAGACTGTAATAAGCGTCTTGTATAGTCGAGTCTATTTGGGTGTTTGGTCATGTGATTAAAGGTCATGGTCGATTCTGTGAGGAAAACTTCATCATAAAAGTAACGTCTGATTCCTGCTTTTTATACTGTGTGATCGTGAAAATCTAAAGCTGCCAAGATGAAAAAGAAGGTATTGTGTTCAATTTTCCATAAAATTACATAAAGAATACAAAAATGTGGTTTACTCGGCTTATCAGCGACACTTACATTAGGGAAGTGACTCTACTTTCGTTTTCCAATTATGTTATTTATATTTCCCTACTTGATTTCCTGAAAAGATTAGGTTAATTGGGAGATTATCCATGTAATGGTTATCCTCCTAGCCTCTGCCTCTGTTTGTGTACAATTAAAACAGAATCAGAATGTCTCCAATATTGATGCCTATCCTTTCAATAAAGTCTAGTCCACCATCTGGTGTATTATCAAACTTGTACATGGTGTAGTTAATCCACTGTATACTGGTGCAGGCAAAAGTCTAGTCCTAAACATCTGCCTCTATTCCAGCCTCTGATGGATATTTTGACAGTTGTCAGCTGGAGTAGAGTCAGAAGAAAAAGACCCTGTTTAAAGGGGATTTTTCACACCTCAAAGATACGTTTTTCTGTAACATAATATTGAATTACCTTTAAGATGATTGTAAATTAGTGTTGGGCATCACCGTAACTTTCGTCAGGTGACTCTATGACATTTGAACTTTTGGCTGGGCACTCAGCTTTAAATGGCCTATGCTATTTCAGTTTCCCCCTCAAAAAATTTGATGGAACCGGACACAAATGGTGTAGGGAGAAAATGATGGTTTGACTGAACTACAAAAATATTCATCTTTCCAAATATACCTGGGTTTTGCAGATCCGAGGTATCTAAATAGGTTTAAAACCCTCGCATCTGCAGAGATGCGGAATGTCCCCATTTAATAGGGCTTATTATTTCTGTCTTCTGTCTGGACACTGACATCTGTCCAAATAGCTATTAAAGGCTGGAATAGAGACAGATGTTTTGGTCTAGTAAAAGTCAAACGATGACAACTTATAGTAAATACAGTGCATTAAAATACTCTGTACAAACTAACAGAGTTTGATGTTCTACAACTGGATCCTGAAGGTGTTTAAGGAGATACAGGCCACGATGGAAGATGACAGATTATTCTACAAACAAATTGTGTCTGGACAAAACCGAATGCTGGTATGTCTCAGTTCTGGCATATGGAACAAGAAAACGGTGGTTGTGTCCCTTCACTGTTGCTGCTATTGGTACAGTGAAAAACTGTGAAGACCACATTCCACGAACATCAGTTCTCACCCTGCATATCGGCCAAGAACATAAGTCCCAACAAAAGCACTCTACAATTCATTCATATTTTTACCCCGAAAACTGCAAAAAGGTTGATCTATGCTGTGCAATTCGGAGGTAATAAGGTAGTTGGTTTGAACTTCTACCATGTCGTATGTCTATGACATATACAAGTAGAGTACTACCTGTCCAATATGTCACCTTTTCATCATGGGTGCAAATCATAAACACAAAATTCCTATCTTACAATTTTCGAAGGAATATCTAGAGATTCACGTGATGTATTTTAAAAAATCAATAGAGTGTAAAGCTGAGTTATATATATGCAGTTTTTGATGTTTATCATGACGTTATATCTCCAGGTTTTATTGATGGGAAAGAGTGGTTCTGGTAAAACTAGTATGAGGTCTATTATATTTGCTAATTATATCGCCAGAGATACACGTAGACTTGGAGCTACAAGTAAGTATCATTCGTAATCAATTCAATGAAGCGCAAACATTTATGTAGGACTTTGTACGATTCTTTTTCATCCTTATTTTTCTTTCATCTTCTTAATTTTGATATTTTGACTTAAAATTGCTAAACATGTAGAAAAAATTAGAAACTAAGAACCAGATAAAAGTTCGAGTGACAAAACTTGAAATTATGATGGCCTTATTTATTTTGGTGGTTTGTTTACATACATGTAATATGTACAATGTACATAATATTTTACTGTTTCTCTACTTTTCAGGGATTGATTTAACTTTTCATAGCCAATATACTTCATTACACTTTCTCCTGTTCATTTCAGTTGATGTAGAACATTCTCATGTGCGTTTCCTTGGTAACCTGGTGTTAAATTTATGGGATTGTGGAGGGTGAGTCAATTAACTTTATCTGAAATTAAAGACAGCAAAATATATCACAGAGGACATAGTCATGGTTTAAAACTGGGGTAGATTCGTGCTAAACTTCAGAGTCATGAACTGAATTGAAATGGAATTTTACATCTGACTTCTCTGGACCTGTTTATAACGCCATACATTGTGCAATAAATGACAGGACAGCAGTATATAGTCCCAACCAAGTGACAAGACACTTTTTTCATGAGCGTCTCTTAACCTGTCCAAATGCTATGAGAGGACAGATAGAGTGGTTACATAGGCCAAAACCTGTTCCCCAAACCTTTTAATATGTATATAAATAAAATTGAAACGTTGCAAAATTAAATTAAAGGAGTAGTATATCCATAATAGTTGTCCTTGCTGAAATAAAATATTGTTTTGAAAAAAAAAAACTACTATGAAAGTCTATTTTTCAGACAAGAAGCGTTTATGGAGAACTACTTTGCGAGTCAGAGAGATAATATATTTAGAAATGTCGAGGTGCTGATATATGTATTTGATGTAGAAAGCCGAGAATTAGAAAAAGACATGCATTATTATCAATCCTGTTTAGAAGCCATTTTAGAAAATTCTCCTGATGCCAAGGTGTTTTCTTTGATACATAAAATGGATTTAGTTCAGGACGATCAACGTGAAAGGGTTTGTTATTTACTGTTGTATAATATTAAATATTGTTATGTATATCAAACTGCTTATGAGGACATTTGTTTGAAGGGGTTTGTAGTTTTTCTAATATTCTTTTTACTCCAATGAAACTGAGCAAAGCCTGAGTGCTGTAGTGAAAACCAATAGGTACATGAGTGTGGTTCCACTGTTCATTGTATGACCAACTGTGAAAATAGTATATTCACTAGTAAATATAACAGTTACATTGTATGTTGCCCTGTAGATTTGTCTGTGTTAGAATGTCATTGTGATCAAGGCTACTCATAGCAATCGATGCGTGTGAGAGTCTGGTAACCTGAATAAGTCATCTTTCTTCCAGTCGAAACCTTTAGAAAAATATCAATGCCTATAGGAATGACAAGTATAAAAAAAACCTTGATAATTTAGGATATTATTCTTGAAAAGCCATTGTTAAGAGATCAGCTGGTAGAGAGGATTCTAGTAAACCAAGTTGTTATCCTTGTAAAATCATGTCCAAGTACCAGTTGGTAGAAAAGATCCTGGAAAGCCAAGTTATCCTTTGGATATAAGTTGTTTTGTTCTTTCTTTTAACCAATGACAATGTTTGTTACAGATATTTAAAGAGCGAGAGGAAGATTTGAAGAGACTGTCGAAACCGTTGGAATGTACTTGCTTCGCTACGTCTATCTGGGACGAAACATTGTATAAGGTAAACTGTTTTTATTATTCTCAAACCAATATTTTATTAGATTTACTCTGGCATGAGCTATGAAGATTCTTTGGTTTTCTAACCTCGATTTTTCTGGTGACTTGGAAATTAGATACCAAGAAAGAGGACAAAATGGTGGATTGTGAATTTTGGCTCTATATTCAGAATTGATGTGCAGTAGTTTTACATACAGTTCCAATTTTGCCACTGTTTTCATCAAAAATACTTTTAATTAGCTACATTAGCTAATAGTAATCACCTGAAGTTATAACATATAGAAATGAGTAAGTACGTGAAGCAGGTAGACACAGTCCTTGAGAAATATATGAATTTTACTTAGTTTCTTTATCTGTATTTTCTAGGCGTGGTCATCTATAGTGTATCAACTCATACCAAATGTTCAGAAACTAGAAAGTAATTTAACAGCTTTCGGTGATACAATTGATGCAGATGAAGTTTTATTGTTTGAAAGGGCCACATTTCTTGTAAGTTTATGTTTCTTTATGATAATTCAAGTCTTTTGATACTTATTTACCAATAGTACAAATACAGTCATAGTTCAAATTATTTTTCAACTAGGTATCTGAGTGATACAGGGACAACAAGAGAGAGGCAGAGAGAGGCATCTTGTTGTCAGTTTGGCCAATGAAAGAGAGGTATCTTCTTGTCAGTTTGGACCACAAGAGAGAGGCATCTTGATGTCAGTTTGGCCAATGAGGGAGGCATCTTGTTGTCAGTTTGGACCACAAGAGAGAGGCATCTTGGTGTCAGTTTGTCCAATGAAAAAGAGGCATCTTGTCAGTTTGGCCAATGAGAGAGAGGCATCTTGTTGTCAGTTTGGTCCATAATAGAGAGGCATCTTGGTTTCAGTTTGGCCAATGAAAAAGAGGCATCTTGTCAGTTTGGCCAATGAAAAAGAGGCATTTTCATGTCAGTTTGGACCACAAGAGAGAGGCATCTTGTTGTCAGTTTGGCCAATGAAATGAAACCCTGTGTGACAAGATGTGCAGGATCTTTTTAAAGATGTATATCAAAAGAGAAAGCTCATGTTGTTGTTCTTGTAAATTGACTTCATTGCACATGGCATAGGACAAAAATTACATTTCATTTTCATTCCTTTAATTTTTCATAATATTTTCTAGGTGATATCACATTGTGAGAGAAGACCACACGAAGATGTTCATCGATTTGAGAAGATTAGTAATATTATAAAACAGTTTAAATTAAGTTGTAGTAAACTAGCTGCTTCATTTCATTGTATGGAAGTTAGAAACTCGGCATTCACAGCCTTTGTAGATGTTTTCACCTCTAATACATTCGTAATGGTTATAATGTCTGATAAAACTATTCGTAAGTTTTTGCCACTGTTTGTAATATTATTATAACATTTGTCCCCTAGCAAAAATATTTGTGCATCGGAGTTTGATTAAAACGTTTACATAAACAATCCACTTTGTATGAATGAATATTAAAAGTTCGATAGTGTGATATGATTATTATCATATTACTGATTGGCTAAGATTAAAAATTCCCATTCTAAGGCCCTACTCGATTATAAAAAATCCGAAACCGGTTTGGTACATTAGATTTGTGTTGTAAACGAGTGAATCAGATTCGAAAAGCAAGACTAATTTAAAATTATAAGTGCCCTTTGAATGACACCATGTTGAATCTGATGAATCTGCCCTAGGAGGTGGATTCACGTACTCGAAATCTGGATTCGGATTCAGGGCAAACCGTTGTAAACGAGAGTGACACGGATTCGGAATCCAGTTTCAGATTGGTTGTAAATGAGGAGGGCCTTAGGTTTGATTGGTCAAAAAAATAGCGCATCTGTCCCTTTGATTTCATAAAAATTGTTTTTTTTAAAATACAGTGATTCAAAGATTGATTGATTCTTTTATCTTTCAGCCTCTGCTGCTACATTGTTAAATATAAAAAATGCCAAGAAATATTTTGAGAATTTAGATAAAGTAGATCAGTTGATTAAAAAATGAGAAGAAAGAGTGATTGAGAAGATGTTAGTACATCAGACTTTATATTGTTATTACTCAGACACGTGCATTGTATTAGAACTTCTATGATCGTGCTTTAAAACGTTTCCAGGGCTATTGTTCAGTACAATGAAACGGTTTTACAAATTAACTTTTAAATTGTTTAAATATATCTGCCCTGGTAAAAATCTGTTGTTTTATATAAGAGCATTTAGTTTATTTGTATATGATAAATGTGGCAATTCATTAATGTTGACAAAAAGGTAATGAAATCCAGAATACATGTACTGTATGTGTTGTAAATTTAAATTGGTTTTCTTTAAAGTGATACTACGAATGAACATAAAATTTAATTCTCAAGAATGGTCAATATGAGTATATATTCATCAGTTAGCTTAACTGGTGTCATAAAGTTACAACAGAATCCCTGTCAAATCTAGAAAATTGGAAAATTCATGAAACAAAGTTATTATTGAAAAACGCTTAATCTTGATATTAAGCAATTTTGAATAGTTAATTGCATATTTATAGATAATTACTTTTTTTATTTTTTACTATAATTATAAGTTTTTTTAGATCTATCGGATTATATAAGGATCCTGTTATGTTATTTATGACACCAGGTATATCTACTGGCTCTTATTCGCTAAGTTTAAATTTTAAAATTTTATGTTAATTCTAAAACGTAGTATCATGTTAAGGTCTATGGTTATAACTTTATTTGTAATTATACGATGTGGAGAAGGTGGCCACAGCCTTCATACTTCTTTCTTGAATTGTAATGGACATTGGACCTTGAATTTTAAAGTGATACAGATAGCACAAATTTGCAGCAAAAATATATTTTTTTCAAAACAATATTTTGTCATGCCGTAAATAACCTTTATGAGATTGTTTTTTTTTCTTTAATGTAAATTGAGGTAGCAGTTTTACAACAAGGTCAAGAATTTGTATGGAAGAGATTTTGTGATAATATTTGTGTGTTGATATTCAGAGCTTTATCATTTGCTTTATTGCTTTATGTTTGTTTATCATTTGAGTCATCCTTGGTTGTTAGATGACTAGTTATACGTCTGCTTGCAAGTCACTGATATAACAGATTATTGATTCAGCCATTCACTGAAGTCTTACCAATCCTGTACTTGTGGATTTTACCTAACATATGTGCAAATTAAGTGTCTTGAATACTACACCTTAGACGACTTGTAAGTTTATGGCCACTTAAAGTTTGTACAGAAATATTTTGACAAGTAGATATGTATAGAATTATATAGCTTATTGGTCGATAAAATTATTTGAATTTGATGAAAATCTTACTAAGATATAAATAAGTGAAAATTGTCAAATTACAATGAATTTAGTACTTGTAAAAAGTTTTAAGCTCCATAAAGTTCCATTTAGCAACCACTAACTGACAGTCTAGTTGCCTGGGAGAGGGTCAGAGAAGAATGTTGCATTCTTGTGGAATGTGGTGGGTGCACCCCCTGTCCACAATCATCAAGGTAGATTTTCTTGTACCAAAACCAATCATACAAATTCCTGGATTGAGTTTCTCTCTGATTTATTTCCATATTGAGAAATGTAGTCCTATAATTATAATAACAGTTAGTATATGTAATTATATATATATAGTTGTAATATAAATGTTATTAAAAGGTAATATCTAATAGTACATCAATTTTTTTAGTCCTTCAACCTCGAAATACAGGTCTGTTGGGGATCATTTCATATTCATGAAGGTTTTAATAAATCCAAATGCAATTTTCAAAGAGAAAAATAATTATTTTGGATCTAAAAATGTTTTGGATTGGTTGGAAAATGAAATGAAATGCATTAAGGAGCATCAGCACCAAACGGGCTATATAGCTCCAGAATGCCATAAAATAATGAAAGAACTACAACAATAAAACACCTATCAATATCACAGTAAGGTCACAACCCACTAACCCACTAAAAACAATATCACAGGTAATACACCACATGGTGGTATTAAAAACAAACAAAACATTTAAAACAAACAATAATTAATCTATTCAAAATTTAAAATAGAGATCCGCTTGTCTCTTTATAAGAAGGTTGCGCAAGTAATTGATGTAAAGATCCAGCACGGTCAATTTTAATAGAGAACAGGGTAACGGATAATATGCTACCCTGTGGAACTCCATTATCCTGACGAAAAGGATCTGACAAAATGGAGCCAAGTTGAACCTTAAACGTCCTATCATGTAGGAAATTGGAGATGAATAATGGCAGTCTTCCTCCGAGACCGAAGTCAAAGAGATCACGAAGAATGCCATATCTCCAAGTGGTGTCATAAGCCTTCTTCAAATCAAAGAATATGGCTACTAAATGGTGATTTGGGATGAAGGCATCCCTGACGAACGATTCAAATCGAACGAGATGATCAAGAGTGCTCCTTTGGGACCGAAATCCACATCGGAGGTTAGATAGTAGATTGTTTGACTCAAGGTGCCAAACAAGCCTTCAATTGATTATTCGTTCCATGGTTTTACAAATGCAGCTGGTTAATGCAATAGGGCGATAATTAGTAGGATTCGTAAGATCTTTACCAGGTTTAGGAATGGGTACAATGGTAGCGATCCTCCAAGATGGAGGAAATACTCCGTCATCCCAACTCTGGTTAAAAATATATAAAAGTTTTTTTAATGTTGGGTAAGGAAGATGTTTTAGTATCTGGTAATGGATATCATCAGGCCCAGTAGCTGTATCATGGGCCTGTTTCAGAGAAAACTTTAATTCTGAGATCTTAAATTTATCATTAGAATATTCCTTGTTTTTTTTATGTAAAATTAAGTTTTTTCCTCTCTTCCCGGAGTTTGACTCTCCGAAAAGCATCCAAGGAAAAGTTAGAGGAAGAATTATAAGAAAAATTGTGGCCCAAGGAATTGACAATATCTGGAAGAGTGGTGAGAGTTGAACCATCTATCTCTAGATGGTTCACAGATATTGTATCCGCTTTACCCTTGATCCTACGAATCCTATACATCTTGTAAGATGGTGGTAAATAATTCCATCGGGTCTTCTGCCTCATCTAGATCATCTTGAGGAAAAAAAATGCAAAGAGCCTCAAAGAGAGGTCAATTAGCTTTAGAGAGTTTCCATCTTTGTGGCCTGTCTACTGGTGAAGGACCATTATTCCGTAGAATTACAGGATAATGATCACTGTGGCAGAGATCGTCGTGGACACTCAAAGAAAAATCTTTCAACAAAGATGGAGAGCTAATTGTCAGATCTAGATGAGAAAAAGTTTTGTTTTTTGAACAGAAATGCGTAGGCGATTCGTCATTAAAGATGCAAAGATCATTGTCATGAAATCAGCTAATAATTTTCCTCTGCTATTATCATCGGAGCTACCCCAGAAAGAATGGTGACCATTGAAATCTCCTAACAAAATGTAAGGAGAAGGAAGCTGGGCAATAAGGTCATCCAATTCTCCTGGGTTCAATGATAAGCTAGGTGATAAGTAGATGGAACAAATGGTAATAGGCACGTGGAGTGTAACTCGCACGGCTATTACCTGCAGAGGAGAATTGAGTGTGATTTCGGACTGGGCGACATTCATATTGACAATAATAGAAACAGCACCCGAGACCTTATCATCACCAGTGCCATAATGGTGGTAGGAAACAAAATGTTTAAATGGCACTAAACTCAAATCCGTTGGCTTGAGGAAAGTCTCTTGGAGACAAATAGCCAATGGATTGTATTGTTGCATTAATAGCTGAACTTCATTAAGATTATGACTTAAACCTCGACAATTCCATTGTATTATATTATTTTTTTGATGCATTGTCAGGGTGGTTTGAGGTTTGTGGTAAGGGGGGGTTGAGAACTTCCGAATCAACCTCGGAAGCCTCCATATCTATACTATCAGATATGGCAGACTTCAAAAGATCTCTTCCTCCCTTTCTGGGGGAGGATCCATTTTTTTTGCCGGACTTGTCATTTTTAGAAAGACTTTCGCTATGCCTTTGTCTGGACTGCTTACCAGTCCCTTTTGGCTGAACGTCTTTAGCTGGTAGACTTAAACAACTATCATCATACGATGAAGTATGTTACCCTCAATTAGACGAATCAGTAAATTGGGCCTCAGTTTAATTTTTTTTTAGTTTGTGTAGCCATGAAGAAATAATAAAGTATTCATCTCCCGAAACCCCCGACCACCACGGACTACGACATCCGCGCGGGCTGTGCGCGGGTCTCCAGCGCCAGTGCCCTGGGGGTAATCAGGAAATATACTTGAATAAAATGGGGAATAGAAGTTCAAGCTGGGGCATAGAAATTCCGTGAAGTATATTGTATTTTTACTCAGTTGACTGGGGTATATCTTTAATGATGCGGATCAATTTCATTCGACACCTGAATACTGTGGAGAGTGAATTCTCTGCCTCACTAATCTAAGGCTGCTTATTACTGTAGGTAAGAGAGCAAGATCTCGCTGATACAAAGCTGCCTATTCAGCTTTTGCGGCTTTGAAATGATGCAGGATTAAAACTGTAAATTTAAAACTAAGTCTTTGGACTGATCAATTTTCTTCCACAACTGAATACAAATTTGACCCATAAAATTCGCAGCCCTAATCAGAAATCAAACGTTCTCTTCATCATAATCAAACTTTTCGGATTATTTTATCAAAGCGTCTGGAAGATATTTCTACTCTCAGCTGATTTCAGGGGACGCAACTCTTTGTTTATTATTGTTTTTATTTTTAGCGTCGTGTCAAATTTTAATAATTAACTAGAAGTTATGTCTTTTTATATATAATTTTAAAACAAATATGTCGGTTATAACGAAAGGGTTTGAACCAGTGTTTCCAACTACGGAAAATTCCATTTCGGAGGAGCAACCGATAGGACGCAGTGGACATTCTATGGTAGCAGATGACGCTAATTTGTACATTTTCGGAGGGTACACGCCCTTCAGAGACGGCGAACAAGATTTTGACATTGCGGACAAACCTCGAGTGTTAGTGGAACTTTGGAAATTTAATTTCGCGACTAGAAAATGGATGAAATTGGAATCAGAGGGAATTCCAGACACTTGTGCCTCCAGTTGCTTGGTTTTACAGGGCAAGAAGTTAATAGTGTATGGGGGGACGGGATACCCTTTTGGACAAATGATGAGCAGCTCCCTGAAAGTCTGTGACTGTCGCCATGTGAATAAATCAGGCTCAGGAAGCTATTGGTACCTCATTGAATCGAACCCTAATGTGTATAACTGTTTGGACAGTGGGGACAATATGCCAAGACGAGCCTACGGACAGAGTCTGATATTCCATGACAATAATATCTATACCTTTGGGGGTGCCATCGGGTTCTTTGAAGAGGCATTGGCTGATCTCCATAAACTAGATGTTCATACTAAAATCTGGGAGAGGCTGGCCCCTACAGGGAATGCCCCGATCGGAAGATATAAACAAGAGGTTGCTTTCGATGATGAAAGGTAAGGTGTAAAATTAACTAAGATTTTTACAGGAGTAATTTTCAAAATGCTGAACTATTTGCTCCATAAAATATGCAAGTTATTTCAAACTTTCAAATTTGGAAGCGCTTATTAGTAACCTTGACCCTAAGATGGTCAAGAAGCTGTAGTGCGTATTAACAGACCGAAAAACAGGAAGCACTAACAGAGCACTATTTGTTAATTTGCATCTAAGAAATTTTCTGTTGTGGGCCACATCAATAAGACTGTGTTTGGGTGTATTGAGACGAGTCTCAATGAAAGCACTGGCCTAGGTGACAGAGCAATAGATAAGATTATTAATTATGTGAAAATTAGTTAGTCATTAGTACGGTATGATTTTAGTTGAAAAGACACAAACACATACATACACATATTCTGAAATATAATATACTATATATTGCCATGGCACCAGTCCCTGAAATCTAACTTAGAAATCGAATATTCTATTGATATAACATGATACATTTAAATCAAGAAATCTATGTTATGTCGATTTCTTTGGTGACAGTCAAAATCTAATTTCTATTAATTTTAATATTTTTCAGATTTTATTTATTTGGTGGAGGAAGGTTAAACTATTCTGAAACTCTAGCTATTGTCTACGCTTACCATTTTGATAAAAATCGTTGGGATGCCGTTCCAACAAAACCTGATGTGAATTTCGGGTATCCTAGATCTCGGTGCAGTTTTGGATTGGTACAAGTGGAATCGACTGTTTATATCACCGGAGGCAGAACGTACAGTTACAGTACTTATCCAGAATCATTAGACGATGTTTGGGCCATATCGTTAGTTAGTTTACAATGGCGGAAACTAGGAGTGACTTTACCGGAGCCTCTTTATTTTCACCGTGCCACCATGTCTCCTGCGGGATATATGTATGTTTATGGAGGCGTAACCAAAGATGGGGAACGTTCTGATAGAATTTATAAATGGCGTCCACCGTTTCATATTCCTGCCTTGTCTGAACTGTGTTGGGATTCCGTCACCAAACACTTCCAATCTATTGATAAAGAAACGGAAATTTATTTAGAAACATTTTATGGAATTCCTAACAGATTTACTGAAAGACTTTCATAGACAGCGAACAACTAAGACTGTTGAACATAGACAGCGAACTCGGACGGCTTGATATATCTACACCTAGTGTTATAATATTTTATATGGAGTGTTAAGGTGGGAATAGACGATGCATGGTGCCGGGTGTGGGATTATTGATACAGTAGAAAATAGAAGCGAATCACATCCGCACCATGTCCAGACCCGTAACTTGTATGTTCACTTCTTCTATGTTCTACAGTATCAATCATCCTGCACCAGCCCCCTTACATCGTCTATTCCCACCTTAAAGTTGTAATAGATGAGGTACAGTACCCAGTGTACGATGCGGGATTATCGATACAGCAGAAAATAGAAGAAACGATCCGTGTCCAGACCCGTGCCTCGCGTGTTCACCTATTCTATTTTCGTCTGTATCAATCATCCTGCACCAGCCCCCTTACATCGTCTATTCCCACCTTAAAGTTGTAATAGATGAGGTACAGTGCCCAGTGTACGATGCGAGATTATGGATACAGTAGAAAATAAAAGAAACGATCTGTGTCCAGACCCGTGCCTCGCGTGTTCACCTATTCTATTTTGGTCTGTATCAATTATTCCATACCTCCTCTGTTCGCTGCTTTACATATTTTTTACATTATACAAATTCTGATAATTTTTTTAATTCATCATTTTGATGAAATCAAGGATGAATTATTTCAATGATATTTTATATGATAGGTGATTATGATGAGGATGAATATTTTATTGTATTTAATTCAAAGATATTTATGCACATATTAGAGCAGTTCAAACCATGAACACTGAATAGTGCAGGTTTTCTTAAAATGTTCTTGTTAATGTTTTGAAAAGTTGTGCCTAAATATTGTAAATATAAATTGTTCTATATTAATATTTATTTTTAGTGATCGATTCATTTTAGAATCCCATTTTTTTTTATCAAAAAAATTTAATTTATAATATTTGTTTTTTAAGTATTTATCTTTAATATTAGTTATTGTTTAGTCTTTATTGACTCAGTCCAGTTTTTGGAATCTTGATCTCTCATCAAATTCTTTTATCTACAATTTTCTATACCAAATTTTTACACCTACGGTCTTGAATTTAACTATGAATCAATGAGAAAGTACATTTTTAGAAAACTTTGCAATTGCATCCTGTAGATCAGGGTTTTTAACCTTTCTCTTTCTAGTACCCCTTTCTGTCCTTTTTATCCCAACATAAGCTCCTCATTATTACCCTTCCCCCCAAAAAATTGCAAAATTACACCCAAGGTTAAACCCCTGTTTAATGAACCATGGAAAATTGGATGAAGATCAAGTGTAGACCTGTTTGTTTTGTTTAGGATAGTTTTTAATATTTAGAATTGTTATGTTTGTTTTGTTTAGGATAGTTTTTAATATTTAACATGCCTTCTCTTGTTAAAATCTTGAATGAAATATAATAGAGTTTTATGATAATTTAGAATTTTATTGTTTTTTCAGAGGGTTAAGTAAATAATTAATTAGATTTTTATTTAATTATGAAAACTAATTAACAGGCCTGTAGCTAGGAGGAGGAGTGGTGGAGGGGGCAAATTTATTTTTAGATGACTTGAATGGCTTGTTAAGTCACAAGGATAAGCTTCCCTTAAAAATTATTGGCCCCCTGAGCTAGATATGGGCCTGATAATTATTGGAGTTGAAAAACCAAAAAACACTGCCCACCTAGAATCAAGAAAGTTGTTTATCACAAAATCAATATTTGAAACGTTTAAACGGGAAATTGTAGAGCATTTAGCTTTTATTTATTACAATTTTAATATATATTTATCATTTAGGTGTTTACACAGGATTTAATATTATTCTGAATGAATTGGTCAAGCCACTGTCAGATTATCATAACATTTTAATACATCTTCTATTTGTAGTAAATTATAAGACTTAATTATTGTTTAAGACTTAGCTATTTATGAATGAACTGCCAAATTCCATGAGATTTTAGACTCAAGATTTTGTTTATTTCTGTCCCTTTAAGACAACTATTTTAAATGAACTGCCAAATTCCTTGAGATATTCAAGACTTTATTGTCCATTTCGTTATATACATCATTATTTCAGTATTTATCACACCAAGTTATCATTGCTGTATTTGCAATCGATTAGTTATGTTACACAAAGTTATACATTATAAACAGAAAAACTGTCCACCTCACTGCCAAATCATGATAACCGTGTTTACAGTCGACTTTAGATCCATTATGTTATAAATACATCATTATATTGAATCAAATTTGTCACACCGATGTCAAATTATCAAAACTATGTTTGTTGTAGATTTTAGACTGTTTGTTCAGCCATGTTATCTAATATTATTGTTTTAACTTATTACGATATGAATATTTAAACAGTGACACTATTCTGTTATTAATCGGTGATATAACTAGCCATACAAAGGCAATATAATTAACCTTTGATACAGCATATTTCACATTACAAAATAACAACCAAATCAACTAGTTTTGCATGTGGAAGTGGCACTTGATTGGTTAATTCTAAACAGGTTCTGCCTCTTCCAATTCTAGCTTCAATGGAAAAGTGCGGAGCCGGTAATGTCACATTAAAAGTTTACCCTTCTTTATTCTTTCTCCGCCATTTTGAATTATGTCTACATTTCATTTTTGAACTTCTGTTTGATTCCAAGCAGAACTCTCCAATGATGTGCCCCCCGTTTGTCTTGGCTTAAATTACTTTATCTTATCTACATGTATAGAGTAGTTGTGATATCCTATGGATTGTGTTTGTGATGAATTATTTTGATATGTTATTTTTGCGATACTAGTAAAATTTTACAAGAACTGATATTTTTCATTACTGCAGCTGGAACATCTGGTTTCAGGCCTTCAGAATTAAAGTTATTTAAATCTTGCCCAACACATTTTTATCTCAATCTAAGTCCCTTGTGAAATTGGTGGTAAATGAACATACATAATACCTGGATTTGCACAGTCAGCTGAGAGGGGAAGGGTTATAGAAATATTCAATATTTCCTCAAGGGTTTTCTTTCTAAAGTTTTCATTTCAACCAATAGAAATAATATTTGTTCATTCGGAAAACAAAGAGGAAAGAAAGACAAAATATTCTTATGAAATATTTATGAAATTTTGACAAATAATATGAAAAATAGAAAATATACACAATAAATTCAAGTTCACAAGTTTAACATATGAAATAAGCACTATAGCTGCTATAAAGTATATCACATTAATAGACTACAGACTAGTTTATCACCATAATTTATGCACATAATTTTGAATATCATTATATAGATCATGACATATTGACAACTAGATATAACAATCTTGTTTGATTTAATAATTCAATCAAAGTCCATTCTTATAAAAATTCCATAGCACATAATATATAACATTAATTTATGTGCATAATTAACTTGAGCAGAAACCAATAATTACCAAATTTAGAGATTTAATTGAACCAATTCTGCTTAATTATGGATGATATCTTGAAAAATTTGTCACTTATTTGATTAGCACACTTCTAGATAAGATTACAATAATCTATGCACATAATTATAATTTTGATGAAGAGGTATATCAAAAATTTCATGATGGAAGTCAGTACTGGTAGTTATCTATGATAGATTATTTCTAATATAACTTCAATAATTTATGTGCATAATTAATTGATTGAAAGAAATATTTATTTCAAACACATGGTGATGATTGATGTTATTTATTGGAAGATCACTTCTAATGTTAATTATCTTTTTAATTTATGCACATATTCAATTAATGTGTTCAATATTATCAAAAATTTACTATCAATGATGAAGTTTCATGAGTGTAGATAAGTGCAGGTACAAATTCCAAAATGAATTATGCGCATAATTAATTATTTTAATTTAATCATTTTGACAAGTTAATGCCGCAATGAAGTTAACGATTAACTATGGGAAGATGATTTTCAATGCGCATTATTTCAATGAACAATGGCAAATAAACGGAACTTTTACGCATGCGCGATTTCAAAATCTCGAACTCGGTTCGTGCTGCTACTGCCTCTTTAAACAAGCCATAGAGGTGCTGGAAAAATGGAGCACCCAATTTCTCCTGTAGGTATAGAGTCAGGGTGGTTAGAGCTCGGTTCTTACAATGGGTACTCTCTAGGGTGGCCTGGTACAAGACTTTTATATTCTGATCAGTCAACTCACATTCTGAAAAAAAAAATTTTATTCTTTATTTTTTTATCATTATCACAATGAAGTTAAAAATGGTGGACAACTGATAGGTTCTTATCTTCTAACATTGATTCTAGGACATCCTAGGTTCTTATCTTCTAACATTGATTCTAGGATGTCCTAGGTTCTTATCTTCTAACATTGATTCTAGGACATCCTAGGTTCTTATCTTCTAACATTGATTCTAGGACATCCTAGGTTCTTATCTTCCTAACATTGATTCTAGGACATCCTAGGTTCTTATCTTCTAACATTGATTCTAGGACATCCTAGGTTCTTATCTTCTAACATTGATTCTAGGACATCCTAGGTTCTTATCTTCCTAACATTGATTCTAGGACATCCTAGGTTCTTATCTTCTAACATTGATTCTAGGACATCCTAGCGCAAAGATTGCTTCAACAATACATGACCTGATTACTGTACTTCATAAAATCTGGACTGTATCTTGGATGTTTTCAAAAATTCACCTGAATTTAACGATGCACATAGTATTCACAATTATTTCGTTGAAGGGATTGTAAAGAGGTTTTCTGAACTGGTAGCATCAATTAGCACTATTTCAATTTTCATTCGGACATCTGTGGTTCTTGCAATTCCCCTAAAACAGCTGCATAGATATCCATATTAGCTTCCTGCAGCTCCCCTCTAACGACGTCATAAAACGCCTTAGTTTTAGTGGAATTGCAAGTACCACAGACGTTGGAATGAAAATAATAAGTTTTTCAGCCTCCGTACCAAACAGAATAAAATAAAGTGAATAAAATCAGCTTACCATCTCTCATATCTACGATAGGAACAGACAACCTGGGTTTATCATGAGGTACTCGAAACGTAGCCGAGTTGATACAGGAACCAACTGAACTCTGGGAACCAGCAGCAGGTGTGATGGCCGTCGGATCTTTTCCAAGCATCCCAGGAGCGAAGACATCATCTTCGGAACATCCAGAGTCATTCATGTTAGTAGGAGATGTTTTGGATTTGGGAGTTTTAAAATTGGAGTCCATGGAACTACAGCTGCCTAGACTCATGGTTACGATACGGAGGTCAGTATGACTGGATAATTTACGATTTGGTGTCTTAAAACATGGGTCTATTGGTTTTCCTGGTGATTTGAAAACATCATCGGCTGATTTCCCTAAAATATACAGGTAGTATATAATAAAAGAATCAAGACACAATTCTTGAAAACATTGGAACTTAAAGATTATCGAAAATGTAAAGAAATCTGATTGGTTAATGTTAGTTTAGAAGTTATCTTGAAACCATGGATACTTTCCTGATGTCAAAGATATTAAAGTTTTGGCATAAAAACATTGTACAAATTAAAACAGATAAAATGTGAAAAGTTTTACCTGGAGTTTTCACATCTGGTGATAGTTCCATTGAGTTATCTCCCTTTTCTGTGATGTCATTGACCATCTGCTTGTCTGTGTCTGTATTGGTGGATAGATCATCTACAGATTTACTCAGTTTACGTAAAGACGTCAAATTCTTAGCCTTGGCTAATTTCGATTCTGATGTTGACAATCTGGTGGCTGATTTGGATCTTCCACCAACACTTTTTCTAGCCATCAATTCTTGAGCCATAGAAAATGGGCGTGGCTTGTTTCGTGGAATCGCAACCTGTCCTGATTCGCTTCTGATTGGACGTCTTACTGATGAGAAGAGCGAAAATATCGGGGCTGGACCAATTCCCTGAAAAAAAAATCCATTTTAAAATGTTCTACTTTTCTGCACCATGTGGGCTAATGAAGACGGGCAACACCATGCAGGGTGCAATGAGGGAAATTTTGCCAAGACAGCAGCATTAGACTGCTCTTTTTCGATTTCCAACAGTCAAGAGTTTTTAACATGCACTGCCTGTAGCATACGGGGCCTCGGTTTATTGTCCCATCTGAAAGCCTAGACACTTTTTCCATGTCAGATCCTCTTTAATGGAGGTTTTTGTTTTTCAGCTAATCAAGACAGTAGTTGAAAACTAACAGAGAGCCTTTTTGCAATTTTCTTCATGAAATAAATTTCAACTAAATAACAAACCTGATTTCCAACATTAAGTTTCATGCCTGGTTCACACGAGAATGCCGCACGCTGTTTGTTTACGATATCTTTCATATGAGGTGATACATGTTCTATTCTTTTCTTTTTAGGATTCTCCACACAATAACACTCGGCTGCAGCGCAACAATTCTCAGGCGTTTTCTGCAAATAGAAGGAGAGCCAACATCTAAATGACACATTTGCAATATAGTGACAACATGTTTGGTAAATATTTTGTTGAATTACAGGACCCACACTCATTAAAGTGAATTGATGCAAATGGGAGCCACATCTATAAGTGTACCTGATTCACATACGACTTGAACACCTCTTTACAATCAAATAAAACACAGTATTTTTTTGTGAAAGGTGACAACAAACACCTGGTACTGGTAGAAGTGCTGGAGGACAGTTATCAGGATCACCAGGATCACCAGGATGTACAGAGGAACATACTGCTACGAAACAAAACTCTACTCTCACCGTCTCACTGAAGAAGGCCATGTTGGCCAAAACATTCGGGAATAAAACCTTTTACTTTCTACACTGAGTTCTGTTGTATCCAGATATGTAAACTAAGTGACCATTGAATTCATTTCCGCAACTTTTGGGAAGCGCAGGCAGCAAAGCATTTCACGTTGCAACCCATTTCTATTTCTGAAAATTCCTGGAGGTCTTGCATCTCTGTATATCGATTTTGGGGAATCTTTTTACGTCAATTGAAAACACCCTGACCAGACAATAAAATTATTTACACTCACAATTCTGGGTGGTGTTTTATGTTCTGTCTCCTCTACTCTATTGTTCATTTCTTCTTTTTTCTCAGGCGTGGTGCAACCATCTAGTTTTTCTTCTTTCAACGGACAGCAGGCGTCTTTTTTTTCTATAATTATCTCCCCCTTCACTTCATTCTGATTCTCGTCCAATTCAACAACAGATTTCTCAATTTTCTCTGAAAAATGCAAAAATAGTGTTTTTTGTTATCACAACTTTCAAATGTGTACTTTGGCTCTTGTAATTTGACTAAAACTAAGTTTTAGACATGACTAACACAAAAACTAATAATAATATCTAAGGACCAATGGATTTTCTAGGAAGCATTATGTTGAGCAGCCTGAGGGAATGAAATGAATGGAGTTTTACGTCCTACATGTCTGCATCACATGGGCTAATGAAGCTCGGGTATATATTGCATAATTATATGGTCGATAAACCAGCCGCTAAGGTTGAAAGGGTTCAGAAAGACAAAACAAACCTGTATCATCATCTACTTCTTTCATTTCTTCTTCTTTCTCAAGATTTTTACAAATATTTTTATTGTCGGCCATCTTTTTATTACAGACGTCTTCAAGTTTTTCTTTCTTGGCAGCGTTCATCGCCTCGATATTTGGTGAGGCTAATCGTCGTTTCTTTTCATAAATTGCTCGATTTAGATTTGTGGTGTATTCTAGAACATATGGCTGCATGGCCGGGATACACAAAATCTGTTCCGATGTGGGCCGACTGTCTGGTTGGGTTCTCAATAAAACACCCACTAAATCTTCTAACAGTGGACCATAATGCCTAGAAATAAGGATTTCAAGATTTATAAGTTTCTTACCATAAACCAAGTTTTTATTAAACAGGCCAAAAAATAAATAAGAAAAGATCAAATTTCAAACAATAGTCATGAGTTGTGTCAGATATCAAAGGTACATTTTCATCGGTTGATTTGGGTCTTGAATATATGTAATTAGTCCACAGAAGTTTAAGAAATGTTTGAAAATTATAATACCTTCGAAAACACCTTGAGTTAAGGCTTATCAATATCACTGATTGGATTAGCTAAAAAAATTCCAGTTTCTGAAACTAAGGTACAATTGGTCAAAAGAATAGCGCACTTTTCCCTTTAAGTGTTTGGAAAATTAAAAGAAGTTATATCCTATAGGCTATAAAAGATAACTATAGGCGTATGTGAATTAACTTACCTGGGTATAGGATCAAAACTACCAGATAGAATGATCATGACTAGAGAGGTGAAATCAGGAGCACTGAATGGTACTCGTAGACAACATAACTCATATAATACACATCCCAATGCCCACATATCACTTTTATGGTTATATCTATTGATGGTGGTTAAAGAAAATAAACTGAAATAGAGTTATACATGAGGAAATATTCACTCTTTTATAATCTTGAATTATCTAGGCTTCAATTTATCAACGAACAAGAACAACATGGTCTAACAACATCATCTCCTCCTGTATGGATGGGGGGAATCAGGTTGCTGATGCCAAGATTGAATTTCAGACTACTAAAAAGCAAGCAAACATCTTACTAAGTGAGCCCCCAATAAGTTATTGCTAAATATATTGATCGACATCGCTTTACATCATGGTTTGATCGTTATAAAGTTCTTCAGTGTTAAGTGATGGGAACACAGTCTTATAAAAGCACTGAACTAGGTCTCTGTTATAATACTATACTACTAAAATAATATTATCTGTAAAGGATACGGTTGTTTCTGACAGATCTCTGGACTCAGATAATATGGTGTACCAATCACAGTCATAGCTAGATCATGTTTATCTCGTAAAACTCTCGCGATGCCAAAATCTCCCAACTTTATCGTGTTTTCATTGGTTAAAAATATATTCTGAGGCTTCAAATCTGGAAAAAAAAAATATATTCAGATAAGACAGCCATTCCAGAAAAGTCAAGTGGAAATGCATCTATTAGACACCCCTAAACTTTCTTTTGAACTCTTCCAAACATACATCCTTACTTTCTGTAAGAGCATAAATATGTATGATTGGAAGAGTTCAATCATAAACTTGGAGGTTTTTTGAAAATCTTGCCAGTTAAATTATTGCCTTTCTTGATATTGGCCAAGCCGAGACTTACCTCTGTGTAATATATGATGAGAGTGAATATAACACAGGGCCATATTGATCTGAACAAACCAGGATAATATCATACTTTCAGGAAAATGGATTCCTCGCTGATCCAGTATCTTCTTTCCAATGTCTCCTACAAGATATAAAACTCTGGATTATTGAGACGTTAACTGAATGTACTCTGAGACCATGAGATATGATGAAACAAATCCATCCACTAACCAGTGGCACTTGCCAGCCTCCTGAGACTGGAGGTACAAATAGGGGGCAGACTGACTCAATCTGGGGATAAACTATCAAGTCTGAATTCAAAATGCAGCAACTCTGTTGAGGTGTCACAGTCGCAAACCGCCCATGATGTGTCTGAAAGCGTTCTCTCACGAAAACTTTCAAAAAATTGAACTGATTTGTTGTCTTCTGTCTGACGCATCATTTGGCTCGAAAATGAACAAAAATTATATTCTTCAATTTGTTGAAAATAAGGTGGGGGTACAATTGGGCAATTGGGGGTGCAAACCATTTTACTTGGGGGGGGGGATCCTCCGCTGTACCCCCAGTGCACTTTACCCTGAGCACATGGACACTATAAGGTGCTGCATGGGAGCATGTGGGGTAGAATTCAACATTAGACAAGATATTGATACTTTATTGAATTTGATCTCGACTATCAAAATAATGATGTTGGTGTCCCTTTGCAAGGCAGGTCATTCTTACTTTCCTACACCTGATAGCACTTTGATTTTGCTTAGTCAACTCAGTACATGCACTTACAAAGAGTCCATCAGATGGTTCACATGACCAACATTGTTTATTTGGATTAGTTTCCCCCATTGTCCACTCACCTGATTCAGCATATTCCATGGCTATAAATAGACTACCACCGTCAACATAGGCCCCGCTGTATCGGATTATATTCTCATGTTTACATCGGGCTAGCACTGTCACCTCAGTAATCGTCTGGTCGATTTCTTTCTTGGTCATATCACTGACCTTTATCTCTTTCAGCACACATTGTCTCTGGCTGGATTTCACGATGGCTAGCCAAGCTTTTCCGTAAGTTCCAGATCCCAATACATGAAGTTTATCGTAATCGCCCGCCATTACTCTCGATTTCTACTCAACAACGGTAGCCACGTGTTATCTCGATCTACAAGTCTCGTGTAGAAGTTCAACGTCAATTTCTGTCTGGTGTAATCGAGCCTTTTCAAAATGCACGTGCAAATGAGTTCAAAACGAAATTGACCGGAAAAGTTTGTATTTTGTTAAAATAAAAATACTTTCAATATTTATGTAATTGAAAAGACCTAAAATATCATTTAGAAAACGAAAATCAACACATGAAGTTTTATTTCTAAGACATAATATTCTTCGGTTTAGTTTTAAACAGTGTGAATTTGTACGGAACCAACGACAGTTGTAAACAAACTGAAAGTAGAGCTGTCAAGAATGTTGAGGATCTTTTAAGTAAGTTGACGTTTATTTCAGTTGATTGCATGGTGTTGCATTTCTCAACTATATCTGTACACCTTGTTAGACTTCAAAATTTAAAAGATAAAGGAGAAATACACCTAATGATTCTATTTTTGTGATGTATGATGTTTCAAATCTTTACATTTTGCCCTTAACACTAAAATAGAACTCTGTGATTTTGCCTTATCAGTCTATGCTATTATGATCAGGCTAAACATTGTGTAGGGCAGTAGACTTATTTATACTGTTAAAGTGATGGACTTTGGTCACCTTAGATAATGTAGTGTAACGGTTATAGCCTACCAATCAATCTGATACATCAAACATATTTCACTATAGAGAAGTGGAAATTGTTTTCCTGAGCCTAATAATTATTTGTTTATTGGTAAACTTATTTTATTTATTTTAAATATTTTTTCCCCAGTCTGACTATTGTTGTAGTGTTATGATATGAGAAGTAGATTGTTACGGCAGATCATCCCATCATTTCCTCTTCTACTGAACCTACCACTACCTCCTAGATTGGCTAGATACTATACAGTCATGTCTACTAGTCATGTCAGTGAAATATTAAAACCATACCACCCAGCGCCCTGGATGTCAGATTTACATGGTATTCCTTCTCATATAGTTGAGGTAAGTTGACAGGGGTTGAAAGCCAGCACTGGGCTGATTTCAGAAGCACTGGTAGTGGCATTAAGATCATATTGGGGCCCTGTGGGTAAGTCCACCCAGTAGCGTATTTAGGGGGACATCCTCTCCCGAGACCTGTTATATGTTTTATTTTGAACTGAAAATTAAGCCCTCTAAATGCTCAAAATTCATCTTGGGCCATCTGAAATCCGTCTGCCAGCCCTCAGTCCCCCGGGGAACTTCAGCTCTCGCTTCATCCCTCATTTTTTGCATCCCCTCGGGCACTTACTGGATGCTCTCCTGGATCCACCATTACCTTATCAAAACTAGCAGTCGCTCTTCTGAAATTAACATGATAGATACCTGAACAGAATGCCAGCAAAATGGCTTTAGATTTATGGTATCTAATCTATAAAAACAAGCTGGTTAATTTCCGTATTCACAAAAATAATATGTTTATTTTTAGCTCTCCCAGAAACCGACGCCAATACAACCATGGAACTTACCCAGAGTTCCTGATGGTTACCAGATTTCTATTAAACGTGATGACATGACAGGAAGTACATTGTCTGGTAATAAGGTATGTGAGGGGGTTTGGCATCAATTAGGTATTAGGGGGTGAAAGAAGATACTAGACTGAAACTTAAAGCACAGGCATAAGAATTTTTTCTTACATTGAGGAGGATTTGAACCCACGGCACCTAGTCATCTAGCAGACGACAATCCAATTCGCTACTGTCTGAGCTATTCCACTGCCACAAAAAGACAGTGTCATTGGGAAGTATTGACGGTTTGAAAGTTGTTAACCATCAAGGATCAGTTCAGTCGCTGACAAGTTAGATTTAAGTCAAACACTGGGAGTTGGCTTGTCATCTTCTAGAATATCAGGCAACTCTCGGCATTGTGGTAAACTGACTCTAACTCAGTTTTGAATGTAAGGAATTCATTTTGTATTCTGTGACAACCTTGTTTATTTCGACCATTGTAATATTGTGACGTAAATGTTGTCCATATCTTTAGAGACTGTAGGCTAAGGGATAATTCTGACACTTACTTATCCATTTAATGCTATATTGTTACTATCCATAAACCATTTAACTTTTTATGATCATTTTGAACTGATATCTTACAAAGCTTTTGTTTTTCAAAATCATAAAATGTACATTTTTTCTATTTCAGGTTAGAAAACTAGAGTTTTTATTGGCTGATGCTATTCATAAAGAATGTCAACATGTGATAACTATTGGTGGAATTCAGTCCAATCATTGTCGAGCTGTTGCCATAGCAGCCAGACAACTTGGGTTGACTCCACATTTATTTCTACGCAGTGAAGAAAAGGTAAAACATATGAAAAATAGAAAAGTTAATGTAACACAACTTTGTTAGAAGAGCAAAAGCTTCAGACCAGTTGGAATCGATTTATGAGGTCACTATTGGAAAAGCTTCTATTGATATATAAGGACCTTTCGGTGATATCGACATCATTAACGCATAGTTTTAATTGAATTGCAAGAGCCACAGATGTCTGATTGAAAATTGGAATGGAGCAGATTGATGCTATCAGTGTCCCAGATTCAGATATATTTTAAGAAAACCTCTCTACAATCTCTTTATTAATGTATATTCCAGGAAGAGTTTTACAATGGAAGCGAAGGAAACCTGTTACTGGATAAAATGGTTGGTTCGAATATTTATTTCATACCAAAAAAATCTACTTATAAAAAAGATTGTTTACCAAGGATGGAACAATTAGCAGAACATATTCAGTGAGTTATTAAACTTTAAATAAAGTTTTTAAAACCAACTATCTGGGGTGCTTCGTGTTTGGAGAGCTTCAAAGGCCTATGAAAAGTATGTCCCCTTGCATGCCTTATTTAGTATTATGCTATCAGCTAATGGTTTTCTAAGAAGGCAGACGGTGATCACTTAACTTAGCATTTGATTACAATCAAGTCCATCACCATCAATCCCAAACCAAACCCCATTAATAGGACTATGTCTAAAAACTTTTGGGGATACGATGGTTTAAACTTTAAATAAAACATGATATGATGCTATCTGGGGTGATTTGCCTCTTGATAACTTCAAAGGCCTATGAAAAGGACCCTGGTGTGCTTTAATTAGTATTTTCTAAGAAGGCAGATAAAGATCACCTATCACTTGATTACAATTTTAGTCATCAATAACTAATAGAAAGTTTTATTTGAATTAATGATGGTTATAAATTTTAGATCTACGCGGGGAGAGAAATCGTATATTATTCCAGTCGGAGGTTCTAATGAACTCGGTATTTTTGGTTATATTGAAGTTTTCAGAGAAATGATAGAACAAGTAAGATATCAATTATAATTTATTGGATGTTGAATTTATTTGTTTCAAAAAAGGTGCATATCTGCCTCGGTCATTATCAATTAAAAATCCCAAATAACATAACTAGACGGTGACAGGCGACGACCAACTCCTGGTGCTGGTGGAAAGCAGTGCTACCAATCAATACTATAACTATTCAGGATACAGAGATGACAAACACAACCCTAAATTTACATTAAGTAATTTATGATGATATAACTATTTTTGTTTTTTTTTTCTTTCAACAATGGCAGCAATGAACTAAATTTGTTAGTTAGTCTTTTGATACCCTGGATTCACTGGTAAAGGTTTAATGGGCAAACTTTATAACAGATATTTTAGTTGATATGATTGCAGATTGCTTCCCCTTAATAATCGCCTGAAACTGGACCCAGGGTTTGTTCTATTCCAGGAATCTTTGGAGAAGTTTGATGATATCGTCTGTGCCTGTGGAAGTGGTACCACATTATCAGGAATGGCTGTCGCTAATTATCTTACTGGTTCCAAATTAAAGTAGGTATATATATACTTGATTGAATGGCTCTTTGAGTATTTAACCCTTTCAACCCCGTTTACCAGCCACATAATTATGCAAAATATACCCAAGCAGCCGGTTAGCCAGTTGTTACTAAGTGACGTCAACAACATTAACCTCATATGCTTTAAAGATGGATTCCCTTATTTTCATTTATGAAAATGAAAATGCTAATACTTATATGAATAGAAAGTAGAGGTGTTCTAATGACTTAGAAAAATACCAGTTTGTCTCACATGTCTATAATTAATTCATAATTAGCTAAATTAGAAGAGAATTACCAGCAGAATTCCAATAAGTGACCGATCAAGAAAGGTCAAAAAGTCTTTTTTTGTTTATCCAGATTGTACATACATGGACATTTATGATTGGTTAAAACTCTAAATTATATGCAATAAGAAGATAATGATATGATTAAGAATTCATGACAATTCATTAGAAACACCAACATTAATCAAATAGTTTGCTTAATTTGACACTGAAAAAATAAGGAAACCCATCTTTAAGTTATCTTACTTAGAGTTCAGGTTATAATAAAGATAAAGTACATCAACCAGCACGTCGGTAGTGATCAGGGTTTAGATGACAAGTTCTTGTCTTGTCCTCCCCAAATCCATCCCCCTTCCTACTTTATAAATAATTCTTTTCAGAATCCATGGCATAACAGTTTGTGACAGTAAAAAATACTTCCATGATGACAACAACGAAATCTTTCCATTGATTGGATTAAAATCTGTCCAATCAGAAGACATTGTCAATATTATTGATGGGTTCAAAGGTCAAGGTTATGGTTTATCAACTGAAGAAGAATTAGGTAATAATTTTTGACATCACATCTGTGGTTTGCGAAGGGCCTTTTATGTTGAAACATATTGACTTCATCAAACACAGACTGACTGAAAGATAGCTTGCCAGGCAAGGTCATATACGCCCACTGGCAGCTTTGATTTTGAACATAAATATTTAGCAGTACAGTAACAATCACCAGTATGAAATATTCAACCTTCCGTCATACACTTCTTTTGAACTCTTTAGGGCGATACTGAATAATATTGAGTATGAGTTATTGCCCTAGCTCGTGAAAACTCAAATATTCAATCTTCAGCGCGGTAATGAATAATAAAACCAAGTTTTGTCAAAATTCGGCAAGAATCATGCCTTCTAGAGTTTTTATGAGCTACAAATTGAACGAGTTTTCAAGATCAATGGCAATAACTCATGCTAAATATTTTTTCGATTTTTCTCATTTTCAATAGGGTTGATCCATGGGTGATAACAAACACTCAAGCCAAATTTCGTTAAAATCTGTCAAGAATTGGCCCTTCTAGAGTGTTTACAAGCTAAAATTTGAACGCGTTTTCAAGAATAAGGGCAATAACTCATACTAAATATTTTTCAATTTTTCTGTTTTTCAATACGGTTTATCCATGGGTGATAAACAACACTCATGCCAAGTTTCGTCAAAATCCATCAAGAATTTTATTATTATTATTATTATTATTATTAAGACACTTATAGAGCGCCATCTTTCACAATATGTGCTCAGATGCGCTGTACAATACAATTCATAAAATATCAACATATTGGTAAAATTGGCAAATAAGTATAAAAATATAAATGAATAAACGTAAAAAATATGTATAAATATAAGGAATAAAACAATCTATAAATTAAAAGCTTTCTTAAATAAAAACGTCTTGAGAAGAGACTTAAAAGTCACTAAAGAAGTGCAGCATCTAATGTTAAAAGGTAAAACATTCCAAAGTTTAGGGGCCTGGACGGTAAAAGAGCGCTCATCGAAAGTTAAAAGTCTGGCTTGTGTCAGAATTCAGAAGTCAGAATTGTGCCTTCTAGAGTGTTTGCGAACTAAAAATTGAACGCGTTTTCAAGAACAAGGGCAATAACTAATACTAAATTTCAATTTTTCTGATTTTCGATAGGGTTTATCCTTGGGTGATTACAAACACTCATACCAAGTTTCATCAAAATCCGTCATGAATTGCACCTTCTAGAGTGTTTACGAGCGTTTCAAGGACAAGGGCAATAACTCATAGTAAATATTTTTCGATTCGTCTGATTTTCAATATGGTTCATCCTTGGGTGATTACAAACAACCATACCAAGTTTCGTCGAAATCAGTCAAGAATTGTGCCTTGTAGAGTGTTTACGAGCAATTGTGGACGGACCAACGGAAAGAGGTGACGGCAATATACGCCCCCCATTTCATGTGGGCGTATAAAAATGTAATGGTGTAAATTGATGCTATCAGTGTCTCTGATACACATAAACCTTGTGACAATCCCTTTATAGGTACTATTGACAGAACATATAGAGATCTATCTGTTGGTAAGACAATATTTAGATGACTTTATCACTTTAAAACAGCTGATGAATATACATTTTCTAATTTTCCAGATTTTCTAACTGAAGTTGGAAGTAAAACAGGTATAATGTTAGATCCTGTTTATACAGGTAAAGCTGCGTTTGGATTGGTTCAACTTCTAGAACAATTACCAGAGATGTTTAAAGGCAGAAGGATATTATTCATACATACAGGTAGGCTTGCTCTGTACACCTTATACAAGAGTCTGGCATATTATATTCAGAATGAGGCTCATAACGCAAACAAAGGTAACAGCATGTCACTGAAGTAAAATTGCCACCTTGATGTCTTTAAAGCCTTCTTCTCCAATCCCATTACACAAAACTAGTCAAATGCCAAGAGGCTTGGCCAAGCACCAGCTGTTAGAGTTGTTACTCTGTCAAAATATTGGTTGTTTCTTTGTGTCTTTCAGGTGGAATATTTGGATTGGCTGACGGAAGAATGAATGTTATTTTAAAATCAAAGAGTGAAAATAAAATTAAAATATGGAATGATATTAATAAACCTCCATTTTCTTAAATTTTACCTGTGTTTTATTTGATACAGCAGTTGTCATGGCAATATTTAATGCACTAGGACTGAGTTTTATGGCTGAGTTGGAAGGTGATATCAGTTCAAATCATAAAACAAAATCAAAATCCAACACAAAGTGTGCAATGAGGGAAATTTTGCAAAATGTGTGTGATATTAGTACATATCAAGTTATTTTCCAATATTTATTGTTAATACCAGTAATAAAAATTATTCTTTGTTTTTTTTACATACCAAACAAACACATAATAAACTTTAAGAACACAAGTTATATTGTTTACCTTCCTGCTTCTATATGTCTTACAAAGATTATAATAAGCTTGTCTATTAGTACTGGCACTAAGATATTTCAACATCGCAATATAACTTGCTATGATACATGCATTGTATTCCCTGGTCTGGTCTGGTCCGTTCTATTTTTTTTACAAAACCAGGTATTTAGACAAACTTGTCTTCACAATGAAGAAGAAATCTAAAATAGTTCATTTTGCGACCGATATCTTATCATAACCTAAGTTTCTCTTGTATAATCATATGTATTGTATTGTAGCACTATATCATATTGTGACCAGCATTCACATTAACATGATAAAAAATAACCACAAAGAATTAGATATAACTATTTAAAATATTTTAAGCTATGTTTTGGCAGCTCGGAGCAGATAATTTTTAATATCGAGATCATCATTATAAATAAAAAGAACATGGAAATTTGATCTGTTCACAATCCACAGCTTGTTTCACGAAAAAAACTAATCTCTAACTCATAAGTAGTTCACATCAGTCATGAAGGTTTCTTTTCAACTATTGTTTGTAATTTGGGGAAATGGTTTATTTTTTAAGCCTAAACAAAAATAGTAAACAAAAGCTGTGAACCATACCTTGCGATTCTGGTCAAAAAATTAACTTGTCAACCTTAAATTAGATTCCATATAAAACGATTATTTTAAAGTAAATTGCACCATCATGGTTCCACAAGTTTTTAAAAATTAATCTCTCCAGAATCAGACCAGGCTAAAACCATAAAATTTTACACAAATCACAAATATTAGTCAGGATTTTTTCTAAAACAAGGCACTGGATCCATTTGCTCAAAAAATCTTAGGAAAAGAAATTGTTGTGAGTTTTTATAAAACAAAGTTCTGGAATGTAGACTGTCCAATCACCAGCAGTATAATTATAATCATAAGACACACTAATCTTTCACTTTATTCTATTTTAGCTGTTGATTTATGAGGTTTTAACCGTATCAGAGACGAAAATCCAAAAATCATAGTGCTTAATGTCCATTTTATAGATGCACTGACTGACATTCCTTTATCCCTGAAAATAACAATCAAATAACAATCAAAAAATAAGTTACATTTCTGGCCCAGATTGAACTATGGCATATGGCCAGTGATGTATGTAGGGGGGCCTGAAAAATTTATTTCTACTTTTGCACCCAAAATCGCGTTAGATGCTTACTAGATTTGAAAAATTTTCATGGGGGAGGTGCCCTGACCGCCCACAGTGACTAGTACCCTCTAAAATCAAAAAAGAGAGCCAAGATGCTTGGATGCACACCCCCCCATCCATCAATGAAATCCTGGCTATGGCACTGCACATGCCACATACCATGCTATGCAGTGGGCAATACAGAAGCTTTGCCAGAACAGTGAATAAGTATACCTTTCAAATTGCACAACCTGTAACCCTAACCCGAGAGTCAGCCAGGTGTCAGCTTTCAACCCCTCATACCTAAACAAGGGACTGCGGTTTATTTTTTCATTCAAATAACTCATAGCTTTTTTTAATTTGACGCTTGACAATGTCCAGTTTAAGTCCACATTTTATAAGCCGATTCATTTTTAATATACAAACTGAACTCTCTGGGTTATCATAATTAGGTTTGATGTTTGTTTGTCTGTCATACATTTTCTATGATTAAACAAAGTTAGAACTTACTGACAAAGTTTACTGGCATACAACGCTTCACCACAATGAGCTAATACAGTAAATATACATCTACAAAAGAACATTAATTAGTTGTTAATTATATATAACAGAAGATAAGACTGCCCACATATCATCCTCACAATGTCAAGCTAATGTAATAGCCTCCTTTCTTGTATCACGATAGCGATTTGATTTGATTGTACAGAGTAAATACAGCCATATTGTTTACAGTTTATGTCAAGGGCTGTGGTTAGTTGCATTTGTTGGCTTACAATTCAATCAAATTGCTGCATTCCATAAAAAAGAAAAGAATACAATGAAGTCAAGGTATAAGACACGGTTAGTAAAAGCTTGACATTGAGAAGATGCCTTTTTGTATGCTTCTATTTTATCACAAAATAAAATCGAAAATCTAGACCATTTTGAAATTGAGTTTTCACCCATGAAACTTTACTTATTGTGTTTTTTTTCAAAATTTGTTTGAAACATAAGTTTTAAATTCAAGTGGTTCAATTTCAATTTAAATAACTGGACTGACTTGCAGAAAAGTAAAATAACTGGTGTTGTATTATACAGCAGATCATTGTTTATTGACACATTTCCACTACCAAAATATCTGTCCAGTGTATAGAATTTTCGGATAGTAGAAACATGCCATACCATCCATAACTGGAGTTACATCCCTTCCTGTTTGAACAACTGTCAAGTGTTACACGTGTATTTTGGGCCTACAGAGCCTATAGTCTAGTATAGCCTATTGCATCGTGAAGACTGAAGAAGTATAATATTTTATTATTCACTGTATAAATTTTTTTCATGAGAGAACTAGACATACTCACATTAAATTACAAATCAAAGGATGACTTTTACCCAGAAATCGAGAAAATGTTGCCAATGGTCCGAGGAAGGACGGTACTTTATCAGGAGTTATTGTAGTCGTCTGAAAAATAATAATCAAATATCTTTAAGTAGGGCTGGGCGATATACCGGTATCACGATAAATACCGGTATAGGAATTTATATTGTTAATAATGTCACTTTTTTAAAAAATACCGAAATATTGCCACCATATCATGATATACCGTATAATTTTAACAAGTAACTTGATATTTGAAACAGATGTTTTTTTCATGATATTCAAGCCAGGGTGCTTTTAGAGATATTTATTGTTTAATGTTACATTTAAAATTTCTAGTTCATAATTTTCTTTCAAAAACTATTATAAAACAAACTTAAAAAATATTGTGATATATACCCATATCGTGATATATTAACGCATAATATCGTGATATCAACTTGAACCAATATCGCCCAGCCCTATCTTTAAAGCAACTTGAGAAAAGTAATTAGGCGTCTACATCCAGTAAACGCTTCCATGAATTTGAAATGGGTTCTCCTCAGTGGGGGTCTATCCTTAGAAAAACCACTGTCTATGTCAGACCAGGGGATCCTTCTCAAAGTCAGAATAGCTATAGTTGATTTGAATATTCATAAACATGAAGTTTAAGCTGCACAAAGGCATGACACAGTTGCAATAGAAAGTTGTCTACTTTCGGTTTAATTTTCCCCTTATCCCAGCTCTACAATTTTTATAGGTTATAAAGAACAAGACATTGCTTACAACCAAAAGCCACAAACCAAACGATATGATGATCATCCATAGTGGATGTGGCAGTACAAAAAACTCGTCAAAAAAGATCTTTTGAACTTTCTCTGTTTTACGTTTTGCTTGATCTTTGGTCGCCATTCTAGCCTTTGACTCTTGACCCAATTAGAACTAAAACGAGGTTTCTGTAGTCTCAGATATCCAGACTTGTCCTGTTGACAAAGTTGATCTGGATGATACAGACTATGTATTTACGATGTAAGGGGGACAACTCCATTAAATGTTGTAAAAAAAATTATTGAATGATTGTATACGAATGTAGTCCACGCTATTTTTGGTAGTCCAGGCTATTTTTGGAAATCTTTTTTTTTCTCTCCCTTTAGTGGTTTTTGCAACCCTATTTTTGAGTAATTTTTGGTCTAGATTTGGAATTTGATGTCTGAAATTGTATTATCTTAAAGATTTGGCGAGATGATGAGAGAAATCAAGGCGGAAGGCTAATTCTAAAAATACTCGTATTGTGATTTGCCAAACTCTAGCGAATGCCGAATGAATGAGTATAACCGCTATTAGTCTACTTTCAATTTCAGTAGGTCAAAATTTTCATGGTCATCATTTATTGAATTTTTGAGGAGACATTAAGGATTGGCCAGGCTTTAATTCGACATATTGGAAAGCTTTCAACGAAATTTCTGGAAAAAGGTTGAATTCGCGTTTTCACCTGGGCAAATGTATTAGTGGAGTGAGTGAGTCCGAATGTTTGACTTTGTGAAACGGTCGATATTCGAGACCGAGGAACCTGCTGTTGTGTACGAATGGTTCCGCGTTACTGTAAATTGTACCTCGAAGAACATTCTTTTTTTGATAAAGACATAAATAAAAAAAAAAACGTAGCTCTCAGATTTAAGAGTCAATAAAGGTGTTTCAACGTCACTTCGCCCCCCTTTACCACTTCGCCCCGGCGCCTCATGAAAAAAATGAGAAAACTTGCGAATCCTTTAATCATTTACGACTGCACACATTTTCAGTTGTTCAAACTACCTCTTCCTTTGGTAAAAAGTGTCTAAAGATCGTCTTAGAGTCGTATCAAGACCAATTCATTTACCAGGGACGAAATGACATGGGGGCGGTTTGGCCTATGAGAAAGTTACACTGTGTGACAATCGAGGCTTGATCGTCTATCGAGCTTTCGTAGGGTGACAATCGAGACTAGCCTCTACTTTCGGTTGCCAACAAACATGGCGGACGCAGTCTTGAAATTCTTTGTTTACATTCATGAAATTGTGAAAATACGCAAATTAAAGTCTATTCTGTGCAATTCCTTGTCTTGGTTTTTGTGGGGATACTTTGAGGTGTGTCTCTATTGCTTCGGTATGAGTTGCCAGTGCATTG